CATATTTTATATATTTTTATTGTGGTAAATATTAATCAGAAAAAATCTTATAAAATTTTTGTAATATCATATTATCTCATCATTACCATGATTTTTAAGGTAAATTTTAAGAGAGAATTCTCTCTGTGTACATCTGTCAACGGCCCTTCAAAGATGCAAAATTAAATCCTGTTTTTTTTTCTTTTGCTTAAAACTTTTATGTAATATAATTTAGAGTATTCTATCGAAATCCAATGTTAATTATTTTTCTAAGCAAGTGTACATACATGGAAAGAATCTTCTCTTCAAATTTACCCTGGAAATCATGGTAATCGTGGGACAATATGGTAAATTTTATAAGAGTTTCTCCGATTAATATTTACGACAATAAAAAATATTAATACATTTTACTATCGAACATATTTTATATATTTTTATTGTGGTAAATATTAATCAGAGAAAATCTTATAAAATTCTTCTATCATATTATCTCATCATTAGCATGATTTTTAAGGTAAATTTTAAGGGAGAATTCTCTCTGTGTACATCTGTCAACGCTCCTTCAGAGATGCAAAATTACATCTTTTGCTTAAAAATTTTATGTAATATAATTTAGAATAAAATAAGAAGAGGATCTCGTAGTATTTTTATGCAACCGAAGATCTGTGAAGTTGGCATTAGGACTTTTTACAAAATTGATATGGCATTCGATTGTCCAAAATTTCCCACATTTGTCCATAGATAATGTTTTTGTCCACTATGCAAAAAAAATTAAAAAGGGAATAAATTTTATCACGAGCATTTTTAAATTTATTTTTGTTGCAAAATGGACAAAAATTGATGAAAAATTCGCATTTTAGGGTGCCGATTTCCACAAAGCTTGCAGCAACTGATGCGCAACGCTGACGAGCGTAAACGTAAAATATTCAAAGATGCAAAATTACATCTTTTGCTTAAAAATTTTATGTAATATAATTTAGAATAAAATAAGGAGAGGATCTCGTAGTATTTATGCAACTGAAGATCTGTGAAGTTGGCACCAGGACTTTTTACAAAATTGATATGGCATTCGATTGTCCAAAATTTCCCACATTTGTCCATAGATAATGTTTTTGTCCACTATGCAAAAAAAATTAAAAAGGGAATAAATTTTATCACGAGCATTTTTTAATTTGTTTTTGTTGCTAAATGGACAAAAATTGATGAAAAATTCGCATTTTAGGGTGCCGATTTCCACAAAGCTTGCAGCAACTGATGCGCAACGCTGACGCGAGCGTAAACGTAAAATAGAAGCCGCGATAAATCAATATCTTGAAAGATGTATATGCGCGCGACAAGAAAATGATAAGAGCACGCGGGTTTATTCTGGCTCTCCAAAGTGCATCAACGTATATTGAATGTGCATATTACATGCGGCACTCTCGTTGATACGCTACCGTTCGCAAAGAACAATAAACAAGACTCGTTCTCCGCGGCGAACGACCGTCATAAAGGGCGGTCTAACGTTAAAGCTTCGGTAACGTCTCTCGATGACACCTCCCTGAGGAACGGAGTGCGGGCTAGAAATTAAGAGGAAGCGGGCATATATCGTGTCCGGGGATATCTCGAGTTGCTCGAGATAAGGCTGCCGCGCGCGCGGCTAGAGTTCATAAATTATTCGCCAAGAGGACCGAAATAACGGCGCGCGAACGCTAAGGTTGCTAAGGATTATTCACGACGCTCCTAAAACCGTATCATTTAGCATCGGGTATACCTTTCTCCGGCCTCGCTTTTGCACACAATTGTCGCGTTCTTCTCCATTACCTCCCTTCTCGCCCCGAGAACTTCCTATCCTCCGCTCTTTATTCAGCATCTTTTTATACGCATCCGCGAGAAACCAGACGCGTCGCGCATTCAGACCTCAGTAATTATAATATTTCATTTTCGCGAGGTTCGAGCGTTTTTCTTGCAAAGTCGGAGAAAAAGAGACTAAATTATACAAGAACTGAATTCGACGGAATCATTAAAAAATTAAGAATTTGTGCTCTTCTTTTGAACAAACACTGGGAATTTATTTGCATATTTAATATTTAAAAAATGAAAATAAAATATATAAAATTTTAAAAATTTAAGAAAAAAAAATGTAATTTTCTTGTCTCTTTCTAGAAAAAATTCTGCGGACGCCCATGCTCCTTCTCGATGGACTTGGCGTATTAGGAAAGCTAAACTGCTAACGAATGAGACAATTATTTGAAGAACAATGAAATTCCGCACGGTGTGCTGCAATTTGCGATTACAATTGAACGAGCAGAACGCATACGTGCGCGAATATCCATACAATGCCCGCGATTCAGTCCGCGCGAGCGATTAACGTTTGCACGTGGTCTTTAATGTATGTCTACAATATCGAGGGAAATGACGTCCGGCGAAGAAATTGGCGGAAAATCCGCCTTTCGGCGAGAGCAATTACCGAATCGATCGATCGATCGAGAGAGAGAGGCGTAATTGCGAGCGTATTTCGCGAGGCATTTTGCCTTGACGTTTTGGTCGAGAAAAGATGTAGTTGAGAAACTTTCCAGGAGTAATTAACCCTTATTCGAACAAGCCGAGTTCGCTGAACGTCTCATAAAATTTCAACTAAACTTACTTTCAGAAATAAACTTCTGGGATTCGCAGAGAGAAAAAGATCGCGTCCCTCGAAAAAAAAAAGGGATATATAAGAGCGATATCGAAACGCCTCGCTAAGAAACATGATAAAAGTGCGGAACGCGCGTCGGGAACTCGTATATATCTATGAGGAAAATCCGATTTGCAAGAAACTGCGAAGCTTGCGCGGCTGCATGTGCGATAGTCGTCGTAATCGAGGACCGATAAGCTCGAATCGCGATACGCGGCTCTATCGTGAGTCATCGTCGTCCGTATTCTTGTCATTGCGCGAGTTTTATCTTTTTCTCTTCACCGTGAGATTATATCGCGTATCGCACTAATGACGTGCTTGCGGGACCTCTTGTGCCGAGGTGTCGGAGCGAGAAGCGGGCTAACAATGATGACGGGTCGAGGCTTTTTTTTACGGAACAACGCTTTCGTCCGATAAGATATTAGCCGATGATATCAGGTATCGTCGGAAGCGGTGGAGCTTGAAATAATTAAATCATATTCTTGCGCGCCTCGACGCGAAACCAATCAATTTGCGTCTCAAACCAGTTCTCCGAGACGAGGAGAACGAAAGATAAACGCCGCACTCCCGCGCGTATATATATTTCGCGCGGGAAATTTTATTAATAATTAATTTCATTAATAATCACCGCTAATAATATACATATTTGGATAATAATAGCTTACCTGCATAATATGCGGTGTTTAAAAAAGAAGAATGCATAAATTTAATCAGAGTCAATATGTCACGTGTCAATATCCTTACCTTTGGAATAAATATCGATGGAATTGTAGAAAGTAAATTATACATTAGATATTTTTATTCAGCAGCGCGTAAATATAATATTAGCGCGCGTCTATCGAAGCATTGATAACGGGTGAATATTCAGCGATAATATTTCACGTGGCGCGGTCGAACTGTGTACACGAATGTGTCTGTAATAATTCGTCGCGCTATCGTTATTTAACTAGATGTATCACCAGCCGTGAAACGATCGCGGTCGTAATTCACTCGATATTTTATGCGCGCGTGACAAATGGATTTTTTTTCTTCGGGATATTCGAATAATCGCGCTCGTTCGCCGATACGATTCTGGCTTTAATACGTGGCGATTAATGACGCGCGATTCGGAAGCGCGGCCGCGAAAACGATCATTCCACGCGTCAGTTTTAACGGCGAACGCACCATCCAGCGGCTGCTGGTCGTACGCGCGGAATCGATAATCGAATAAAATTAATTTTAAAACAAACGATGCCGACGCGCCACGCCTACGGGCTGAATTCAAAATCACCGTACATTAACTAGCCGCTAGTTATCTCGAAAATGACTGCTTTGCGGTTAGCGAATGAACCGCGAAGGTGTAGCCCACGTGTTAATTATGCAAATTAATTGATTTAATGACTGAGCCAGATAACAAATATTACCGTCAAACTCTAGACGGAACAATTTCGCGAAAGGCGAGGAAGAATAAGGTGCTCGCCATCCTATATTGGGGATTTATTTATAAAATAAAAATATATTTAAAAAATTATTGCATCATATGGCGAATAAAGCAGAATTAAATTAAATAAATCATCAACATTAAACTGTCAGAGAAATTTCGCAGCGTATTCATGTGCCTTGATAATTTTAAATATGTATGTATTTCGATAAGATTTTTGTTCTTTTTACTTTAGTCGTAAAAAGACCGTAGTGCATTCTTTGTGTCATATCTTTGCCACAAAAGCGTCCCAGCTGTTACATGTTAATGTCGCTTAATGACTTATAAATAAATTGCCGACGACGTCGTGACTCATCCATAACGGATAGCTCCGTAAAGTCCTTGAGAAAAGTGTTAGCACCTGCGAGAACGATCGCAATGCACGTACAGTCCGACGAGTGTTTATCACCTAGGAATCGCTTACGCGGACTTTGAAGAACGTTTCACCGACGATGAGTCAGTAAGAACTCGATCTCCTTCGCGAGATTTTCTAGCGTGATCGCATAAAGATAATCGAGCGTATGAAAGAAGAGAAACTCGCCATCACTTTATGTTAACATATTAATCATCGTAAGCGGTGTTCGCTTATTAACACCGAGAAACAGTGCTTCTCTTTATGTAACGTCTTCCTGTATTCTGATACGTTAGCCAGTAAAATTGCAGATAATATGGATATATTTAAATTAAGCGACTCGGCAATGTTAAGTAATTTTTTTCACCGTAAAACTCGTTTTAAATTTATATTCAAAACTGTACGTATGATTCATAGAAAGCACAGTTTTTTGTCGAAAATTAGCAACTGCATACATATTTCGACTTAAAAATTCCACGTGTGGAATTTTAAAAAACGCGACATAAAAATTGCAAATTATTGCAACGAGCATGTGAATTTTCATGCAGACTTACTTTTTTCGTCGTGTAGAGTTTCCGGCCTTGCAGCAGCATGTACATCTTTCTCCAGCCGTTCGAGTTTACATGACGCATCCACACCATGCTGAATACTTGTGGACATTCGCTGTCCTCCCGTAACAGATAATTCTGCAATGCAAATAAAAACATATATATATATATATTTACCATTTTAGTCAGAACACCATTTTGACTTTGAGCGATCACATTGGCAAAGAAATCACTCACCCTTAGTGCACTATCAGCATCTGTGAATGTGCTCCTGTCCTCTCCGCGCGGAAATATAACCATATCGATAGGGAAGAATTGCTGCAAAAGATTAAAATATCGCCTTTTTTATATTTTACAATAAATATTGGAAAATATGAATTTCGAAATTTTTTGAAAAAAAAAAAAAAAAAAATGGGAAAATAAAATAACTTAAAAAGAAATGAATCTAAAATATTTCAAAAATAAAAATTTCATATTTTACAAATATCTCAAATTCAGGAAATAGTTGAACAGTTATTAAAAAATATTGAAAAATTTTTATATGGATGAAGCACAATTATTAAAAGCACGATCTATCTTCTAATTAAAACATAAAAATGTTCTAAGAGATTTTTTCATCCTGAAGGGCGTTGATTACGATGCTCAGTTTCCGAAGTTTAGAATCTGCGCTCGTTATCCTTTAATTGGCCAATCATCGGCACGAAGGCCAAGTTACAAAATTTATGACCTCACGGCTGACTGACTTTTAAACCACTAATTGATGTCGAGAGTCAAGTACATACTAATTAGTGAATCTATTTTCGACCCACCATTAGCGAATCTATTTCCAAAACACCATTAAATCGACATCGATACAAAGTTCAGTTTTTTCTATCAAAATAATAACGAGATATTACCTACAAGATCTCTTACATCCAACTTCTATCGCCATTTGTACCCTTTTCGTATCTCGATACGTTGAATTTAAATGATCCTACGCGATTTTAATTCTGTAAAATCCTAGGACACGACCGCGTTCAATCAATACTACCGAATTCTCGAAACTTTCGTTACTTTCGATACTCGAAAAGTATTCCTAGCGCCATCTTCGACCTGTGTGAACTTACAACTGAGGAAATGCACTACTTGTCGGTAAACGCGAGAGCAGAAATTTCACTAGGTATGCATACCGACACTTTTGTCGGTAATGGCAGGACACTCCAGTTATCTGAACCTCTACCAGATAATCATGAAAACATGTACAGAATTTGCTTGATAAATCGTCGGTAAATTATCACGTATCATTTGTTATCTGATTCAGTAAACAATAACGAAAAATATTTAATTTTTTACAGATTTTTATTTGTGTGTGCCTCTTATAATAAATTAAATTTCAATAAATATTTTAAACAAAGTAATAAAATATTATTTATCTTCTTGCTTACCTTAGGATCTATGAATGGTTCATATTTCAGGAAGTCTTCACTGAAATAAAACCTCCTCTCGTAGCGCGAGGCGAACATCTCGAGTTCTTTATGAACAGCAAAAATATCTTCATGGTCTTCTAATGTACGTTCTGTAACAGAAGCATTCATTTCGATTGCTTGTGAATTATTTTTCACAAATAATCTCGCATAACAATACAATTCCTTATTATCGGTCTTTAAAAAAAGTTCTTATGATATTAATTTTTTAGCGCAACAAATAATTAGTGAAGCTATTAATTTCTTATATCGAGAAAGTTGTGTCAATTCTCTATTAGCGAATTTTATATCTATAGATGCGGCAGATCGGTTCGTCGTGTTATAAATTTGCAGAAAACGATTTCGTGGAAAGCATGTTAGACTAAAATAATATGACATTTCGACCGAAACTTTAAACAAACATTCCATATACGGAGACACGGTGAATCGCGTCTCTGACCTGCACCAAGCTCCTGGAGGTTCGCCCGCTATTGATTCTCGGCTGCATTATAGAGCCCTGTGCCGTCTTTACGACCCCTCCATCCCTTCGCCCTACTATGCACGCGTTATTTCCGATCTTGTTCCGAGTCAATATTATAGAGAAAATTTAGACGATTCAACTTTTTCCTCTAATGCATTAGCGCGATGCATCGCATTACTTTTCTTAAGAATGGCACGTGTCTCGTAATTTTAACGAATAATCGACCTTTTACTTCGCACCAATATTTTTATAAACTATTCATCACACAAGAAATCAAATCTGTAATATTAGGTATATTTAATAATATAAATATTATATTTGTTTTTATATAGTTATTTATAGAAAATCAGTTAATAATAATCTAGATATCGAAATAAACATTTAATTTTATGAGCACTACGTTTATGACAAATTATACACTAATACATTTCAGTAGTATATAAATATAAAACTGTAAGAAACACAAAAAAGATAAAATACAAAATATTTGTATCTTTTAAAAAAATATAGTTCAGAGAGAAACTAGTAATTTCTCAATGAAATATAACTGACGAATAATAGAACCGAATGTAATTAACAAATAATCATATAAAAGATATAATCGCAGCTTTTAAAAGTACGGTCAATGATACTATTCGCGTGACCATGACAAAGAATTGTGTTTACTTGAGAGCATATTGATTAATCCTTAATCGCATTCCTGGGAAAATGTTTAGAGTTACAGAGTCCGATAAAAAAATCGCGAAGACAGATAATAAATATTACTCAATAGCGACACATCGATATCTATAATAATTACTGTGCATGTATACATACCGATTCCCAATTTCGGCCACGTCTCGATTATCGACCAGGCAAAGCCAATCGTATTTCTCTTGACTTTGAGCAACTCGCATAAATCGATCGTTCGCAGATTTTTCTCCACAGCCACAGTGGTAAAAGAATGATCGTTGTTATAGAATTGCAATTCTTCCTAGTTAAATAAACATTCAGAACATATTACTTACACATAATTAATCAAATGGACTTAACTAAACTAATTTTAACTTAGTTAAGTCTATTCGGTCAATTATGTATAAATAATATCTCTCTTGTGTGTGTTCCTACTAATTTAACTATATTTAAATAAATAACGAATATTTAGGTATAATTTATATTAATACTCAAATTTATTATATATGAATGACTAAAATGATAATAATGAACTATTTTAGAAACAAAGCGAAACTGCGATATTAAATCAAATATTTTGATTACTCCGTATGATGGTATATATTTTTTTTTTCATTTTTATTATACCGTAAAAAACCATGTAATATATATAAATCACATACATATTATTTAATTAAATTCAAAATATACATTTTTACTTTAGATTTGCTTGTATGAATATTTTTGCGAACTGACAGTTAGTCGAGTGATTTTTCGAGCACAAAATGTATTCTGACACAAACCTGTCTTTCCCTGTCGATTAAATCCTGGTCTCCTCTTTGACTTCTTCGCATCGGGCTGCTAAGTTCGAAGATTGTCAGATCGGAACCTAGCCGTTCGTAACTTGCAGTCCGGCCGACCGATCGATTGTTCGACAGCGTAGAATTGCCATCGATGCAGGAGCACATCTTCGGGAACCAATCTGTAAAAGCCCAAGAGGAAGCTGGAAAAAAATTGGCGTATCTCGCGATCGGCAAACAAAGGGGAAAAAAATCACACGACTAAAAAATGAGAAAAATATCGCTATTTATTGATATAAATATCCATTGTAAAGAGGCGTAAAAAGAGAGCGCGCGAGCCCGCTGTACTAAAATCTATTTTACAACATAGGCTTCGCAGGAAATGGGGATCTACGTCAAAATAGAGCCACTACATTATCGGTGAGTAAACGTGGCCCTCTCTCGCTTTAAGAAACACAGAGGAAACGATAAAGAATGTCGAAACATTACGGACAAAACGAACGTCGTGCTAAAAAATAGCAGCGGATTTCGGACGTGTTTCCATATAGAATATAATAATTATGTATCTTAATATCGAGGCACAAGGAGATAAGATAGATAAATAATTGCGTGTGCTATGACATTTTGAAATACATTATGTGTGCGTGCGTCGCATTTTATGCAGAGAAATGGCAACCCGAATATTTACACCTCGCGAGGAAGCTTGCGCGCAATTTTTGCCGGCATTCGTCGTCGCGCTGACTTTTCATTTTTTTTTAAATTGACGATAATATATTAAAAATGCACATAATACACATAGAGTTTTGCAAACGCTTAACAAGGAAATCAGCAAAAATATTTATGCATAATGCTAATCCGAGGAATCGCCATACGCAGCAGTCAGGCAGAGATTAGAAGAGCCTTTGAATACACCATATTTATGTATTTATGCAGGTCTCTAATATAAACCGGTGGCGATCGACTATCTCACGAAACGCAACAAATTCCGATGTTGTATGAATGAGTCTCGGTCTGTTTCCGACCTTCGATCCCTCACCTTTCACTCCATGGTCCATATTAACATATGTACAAATAGATTGATTATTTATATTATATAAAATAGCAGAAATAAAGATATTTCACATAATTATTATAAAGTTCTTTTGTTCTGAGATTTTAAACTTGTTTGTAAATTAAAAAGAAAAACACAGAAAACTTATTTTAAATATTTTGATAAATCAATACAAAAGTCTCTATTAAATCTTCCGAATAAAAAATGAAATTTAACACCACACACAAATAGTTCAAAATTTATTATAACTTCGGAGTAATTTTATGATTTTTTTTGTTATCCAATAATTAATAATTGTAATCAAGTATTTTATATAACAGTTAGATATGAATATATAAAAAATTCATTTAATGCAAATTAAAAATATTCTATTGTGTTCTCTACAAAACTTTTTATGAAAAATTAATTTACTATTAAAATATAATTTGCCTCGTTTTTAAATGAAAAAAAAAAAACTGTAAAAAAGTATATTAAATGTTGTACAAACTTTATTCCAATTTCATATAATTAATGTTACTGACTTATATAAATATTAGGGCTATAATGTTACTGATTTATAAATGTTGAAATTGAAGCATTCTTTAAAGAAATGTCCTATCCGAATTTTTCCTCCGGACCTTCATAGCGTGCTTGTGGAATATCTCAATTTCTTTGATGAAATATCTCAATTTCTCAGATACATTTGCATGCTTTTCTACATTCATTTATACACAATACGCGATTAACATTACGATTTAATCGAAGGAGACTCTCCTCCAGCTAGGTCGAACACGCAAAAGTTCTCGCCGCATAAAGATATTTTGAAGCGTTAAATAGTGCTTTAATAATCGCTCGTCTGTATCCGGGGTCGTGACGATGCACTAGTAACGAAAACCCACATGTATATGTATGCCAACGACGCCAATACTCATCGATGTACGTATCCATCGAATTCGCTCGTTGTGAATCGTTTCACGAACAATTGTTTCCACGAATCAGAGAACGAAACAAGAGTAGAGAAAGCTATATCAACGGCAAAACTAGTAGACCCGAATAGAATTCAAAGATTCCTGTTCTCTTTCAATTGATCTGATCAATAAACTCTTTTTTCCCTAACTCCTCTCTCCTTCATGAATTCGACTATAATTGCGATATTCTAAGAATAGCAAATGAGTAATAAGTAAAAAAAAAAGAGAAAGTCGACGGGCAACGACATATACGAAATAATTTTTCAAAAGTTTGAGAAATGGAAATGTTGAATCCTATAAGCAAAAATTTGCATCGATATTCAATGGAAGAGATCAGCTGCAATCGAGCCATGAATTTCGCTGAAAGTTTTTATCTCGAGACGATAAAAATGTAAATTGTTTTGCACACTATCTTTTGCAATGTTTAAGATTGTTACCGATAACAGTCGGTAGAAAATCAATAACGCGTTCATTCGTGTTGCAATTTAATTAAACGTATGCATTTGCACTTTGACTTTCGTTGAGTCAGCGTTTCCGTTAAAGGTAAAATTCAATTTGAATCTGTCATGAAATAAACGCTTTATGTCACTCCATATTCAATCAATCAATTGCTATTAAAATATTTTAACCTCTTACATTCAAATTTCCTAGTGGGAGAAATTATCTGTTCTACTTCTCGATCAGAATTTATTCTTTCTAAATGTTTACTTTCGAAAGTGCAGTTTATTTGAGCCTTTAGATAAGTTTGAAATGAACGAATTGCAACAGGGGTTTGCAATTGAACAGAAATAATATAATGAATAATAGACTTCTACCTTAATATATTTTGCAATCGATCGCGAAAGGAATCTCTATCGCGTCGTCGTAGATTACGAGAACATCGAGGGATCGTAGTCAAACTGTAACAGGACCGAGTGCGAGGACAGGCTCTCGAATTAGCGGGCCACGTTGACCGTTTATTACGGCAATTAATTAACCCGCAATCGTCCGGTATGCGGTACGCAAATGCGCAAAGCGCGTAATGTTGAGCATCGCCGATTGCAGCTGCCTCCGCACGACATTTCCGGGTTACACGAATAAAACCGATGGACAACATTTGCTAAATTCTCTAACGATCAATTTTTATATATACTTTAATTTTATTACTTTCTATACTTTAAAAAATAAACGCTGTAATTATAGAGTAATGAAATCTTGTTTTTAATTGCGAAACTTTTTAATCGACGTGAATTAATTTATTTAACCAATATATTATATAAATTCATTTATTTCTCGTTCGAGAACCGTGATTACTAAAAAATAGAAAATTGCTACTGACAATAAAATATATATATATTGTATAAATATGCTTTCTCTTTCTTTCTTTCTTTAAAGAAGAATACATGTATCTGCTTGTGAATATCAGGGAAGAAAAGAAACATGTTCTCGGAATAAAGAAAGGTACATACATCTTTTCTTAATTCCAAGATATACATATGTATTTTTCATTATTTAGTAACACAGATCGCGAGTTTCAAATAACAGCAACCTTGGCCTACTCACATTTCTATTATCTATAAACTAATATATATCTATATATGTACTATTTCATCCCGGTTCATTATTTTGCTGCTCCCTTTGTCAATCCGTCTATATTGTCACACATATCTGTATCCGCAACCGTAATCTCCCTTTATATGAAACACATCTATAAATTCAAATCTAATTTTGCGAAGACCGCACGTAACGCAAGAAACATTAACAGCGCACTGTGTATTTCTTCTACTGTTATAACATTTCTCAATTAACTATTTTAATTAAACGTTATATGTATATAAAAAAAATAATCAAAAATTTTAATTAGATTACACATTTCCCTAATAAAAATTTAATCAAAGTGACACAATTAACGCAGAGAGAATTTTCTTAGAATTTATCCTGAAAATCGTGGTAATCATGGACAATATGGTATTTAAAAAATTTTATAAAAATTCCTCTGATTAATATTTACCACAATAAAAATAGTAACATCTATCACAGTAAAATATAAAATGTTCGATGAATTTTACTATATATATATTAATAATTTTTATTGTGATAAATATTAATCGGAGAAATTCTTACAAAATTCTTCAATACCATATTGTCCATGATTACCATGATTTTCAGGATAAATTCTAAGAGAAAATTCTCTCCCTGTAGAAACTCGAGATAATGAAACTCGACATATAAATTGTTCTGTATATTGACAACTGTTATACATGTATTTAGATTCAGCGAGCAGTTTTCGCTATACTTTACGAATCAAACTGATTATGAAGCGATGTCATTGGTAAAAAATACAAATGATCCGTACAAGAATATTTAATTTTCTTCTCGAGTGTCATAATTTAGAACGTCTAATATTTACAAGGTAACGGATTTCTAATCACCGTTGTCACGGCGATAACACGTTATCTCGATATCGTAAAGGCGCTTTGGACACGTCGACGTCTGTCGACTATCCCGGTGACGTTTCTCTCAGTCATACACGTTCGTAAGTTACCTGGTATGCGGACATCTACCTGTCACGATGACGAAACCGGGTCGTTCCATAAGCACAAGCCGGAACATGCGCAGTCGAGAAAAATAACACAAGCAATAATAAGAGGAGAGACTTTATCTCTCACATCCTATCTCCATTTATCGTTTATCACGAACTTTTATCTACCACATGATCAAAGACTTTAACAATCGAAAGAGGAAATGGATAAGTCATGTGTTGGAAAGACAATAGTGGTTGATCATCGTGACATCGTAGCATGATAAACAAGAATGCGAATGATCTTATCCCTTACAGAAAATTTCATTGGAAATAAGAAAACAATGAGACATATATTACCGCGAGAGAATACAAAAATATCGATACCTCGTGCAGCGAGAAACCACGATTGCATATATTTACATTCGGAGTAAAACAATTCCTTCTTATATTTTCGTGCGATAATGATTCTATATAATTATGGTGGAATAACAAAATAAATGACACATATAAATTGAGACATGTATCATTTATCCAGAAAATATTTTTAAAAATCTAGATCCCCTGATATCTTGGAATAATCGAAATATATGTTGACGTAAAGTTTCAAATGAAAGATTCGAATCGTGCATCAAGATTTATCGAACTCGCCAGCTGAAACTGCAATGTCCATCTCACCGTTATCGTGGCGAGGCAAATATTTCGGAAGAATGGAGACAGCCTATGCAAGGTGGATCGATAAGAACCAAGGCAGGCCGAGCTGACTAGGTCGAGCTCGAACGTGTTTTGGCGGCTGCCCCGATTTGCTGCTCCTATACACGGCTAGTGTAAAATTTTCAGCGTGTTCCCGCTTCTTCCGACGATGTGGAATAACAACAAGGAATTCTACATGATTTCGAACCGTAAACAATTGATTGTGCGACGACAAATATTTTTGTGACAAATACCGAAACAACTTGTAATTTAACATTTATCGCATATTTAAAATTTGTATTAATGTATTTTAGAAACGATCGATGTAAAAAAAAACTGGCTTTAATTCAATTTGATATCTAATTTATTACTAAAAAAGTGTGAACTTTGATTATTTTATGCAAACAATATAATTTTGAAGAAAACATGACGATTCAAAAATTCCTAGAAAATCTCCAAAAGTTTCTTATAATATATAAAATATAAAAAAAATTATAAGCTAAAATAAAAATTTAATTTAATTTTAATATTAAAAAAATGGAAAAAAATTCGAATTGATCTATTGAAATTCTCCAATAGTCACCTAATCTTTTCAATGAAGAGAAACTTCTGCAGAGCATGCACTTTTCAGTAGAACGGTAACCACGATGAGCCGCTGCATACGAGACGAATTCGATTCTTGCCGTTGTTTTTCGCGGAGGGATTACAAAAGCATTCGGCTAAGTTACAACTTGCATCTCTCGCGGGTTTGCATAAATAAAGGGCGATGGCCTGTTCGAGAGGTGTAATCACGAGCCATATAACCCGATATCATTGCTAAACGATCGCGGACAATAATGTATCCTGCTCTTGCTCTTTCTCTACCAGCGGGTCTCGCAAATGTGTGCCTACGTCGCTCGTTATTTCGCTCGTTTGACCGACTGACGTTGCTCATTAAGCCATCATTCCGATATTGCTCGACGGGGAGAAAAGAACGGAATTGAATGTCTTGTCGGCATCAAGCGTTTTGACTTGTGAGTTTCATGATAAAATAAACTGCGAGCTGCAGAGAAACCTTCCGGTATTCGTCCCACATCAGTTGTTTAATAATATTATCAAATATATAGAGACTATTGATTGTTCAAGCGACGCTCGAAGACGGAAATGTAAAAAGAAGAAAAATTTCAGTCAGTCGATTGAAAATTAAATCAGCATCACATAGTAGTCTGATAATCGAGTAAGGCATTTACGAGGCGGAGTCAATTTAATCTTGAAGATGCTTTTACAATCACTTCCATCCCCTCAAAAAAAATCGCAGACCGATACTCTTCTGGCAACTAACAAGAACGACTGGCCATCCGCCAAGACCACTATCTGTCTCGAAGAAAAAAAAAAAAGAAGCGATCCGTTCAAGTCGCCAATGGGCTTCATCTTCATCGTCTTCGCTTTACGAACCATGCATTGTCGACTTTCGGAAACAAGTCGGTCTATAGATACTCTCGAGAGCTCTGCGCAAATTGCGTTTTCGAGCTTTTCAAATAATCTAACAATAAGTATGTAATCGTAAAACCAATGTCAAAAAAAAATTAAACGTCACAATTTTTGTCAAAATAGATTTTATTTATTTCGATATCAATCAAAGCGATGCGATTTGACGAGATAAAATGTATGCTCTTCAGCAATAAACTCATCAGCTGCCCTTTACCGTCCATCAATTTTACAAACGAGTTTCACGTTCCTCAAGGACGTATTACGTGAAAACTTCGATCGCGCATTATTCCTAGTCGCATTAACAAACTAGAAAGCCAGCTCGTTACGTAGCGAGGTACGTAACAAATGCCTGCTTTGATAGATGTGACTTTCTCTTATCAGAACTAACGCAATAATTAATCGCAAAAAATTAGATTCCTGCGAAAGATCGCTCATTCAAAAAAATGAAAGTAAATTTAAATTATTATCTTAATGTGCAAGATTTGGTTCAATTAATTTCCCATTAGAAGAATTTAAAAATATCCATAATACAAAACTACCTAAAAATTAATTATAAAAATATTTAAATAATAATTATAAAATCTCTCCTCTTAAATTATAAAATTCTGGAATAAATTTAAAACAAAATAGTAATTATAAAATCTCCCTTAAATTAAAATTCCGAAGAATAATTTCAAAAATGCAGGAAAGTTTGCGTGTTCGATCCTAGCTGAGGACTTTAATAATGATCGTAAAATTTCCGCGCGACGATCCCTCGAAAATACGGACATACGAAACATCGATCAAGTAAATCGATTACAATCCCCACGTGAAAATCAGATCGCGCTCTACGAAGAAGCGCGACGAACCGGCCTTATTAAAAGACCATCAAAAGCTACGATAATCGGAGATCCCGTCGTTGCGAAAGCCAGCTCAAGGACCACCATGGAGTATTTCACAAGGAGCTCTCTTTACGCAACGACCGATCTACCTCCTTTCTGTCTCAAAAATTGATACTCCACGCGATACTCGAGCCGTATCCGAAAATTCGGCACGAAAAATGTACGCGCGGTGTGCAAAAAGCGAAACGAGTGATCGGGTGACGCCAACGGGATCTCGGGGTCGCAATCAAATGTCCCGTCGATTCCCGAAGTCGCTACTGTCGCGTTGCTAACAATAAATCGATGTTCGCGGAACGATACAGAACTCTTTACAGAAATGCGAAAAGCGTGGTTCTTCGACCCGTTCGTATCATTATTCTCATTTAAAGACATTTACATTTTGGTGCTATGTTATATAAATTGTGTGGTAAAATTATGGGGGAAAGAGAAAAAAGATATAAAAATGTAAGTCGATAATAATATTGAATGAAAATAATAGATACGAATGAGTTTAAGATTCAGAAAAATAGGTCCTATCCTTCGCAGATCATTTCGAAAAATATGACAATAGAACTACGAATGTGTATGTGTGCTATGCACTACAGAATTGAAATGTCATCAAATATGCGTGAGTTTCTGTGAAAGCACATTTGTAAGATCAAAGGAAATCTTTTCTTCGACGAGAACCGCTGGACTGATATCTATAACGATATCGACATATCGAATTGACCCTGTCCTAAAATACTGCGGGAAATTTTTCCGTAAAAGAACATTTCGAAATATCGCGATGCCACCTGTGCCAGCAATTCTTACGGTGGTGTTTCGATATTCCGAATCTAAGATACCGAAAATCTGTAAACGCATATAAGTCATAAATCAAGAGAAATCACATATGTGATTATTTACCCAGATTTTGATAATCTTAAAATTTAAAAACGTTTATAGAATAATCTAAAGTGATAGAAATAGAGTAAGAGAAAAGTAAAAAATATTAACAAATAAAATTTACTATTGTGACAAAACCGATCAAGCATATACAAAAAGAATTTTCTCTTAGAATTTATCCTGAAAATCATGATAATACGGTATTGTAAAAATTTTATAAGAGTTTCTCTGATTAATATTTTTACCACAATAAAAAAATACTGTCTACCACAATAAGATATAAAATATGTTCGATTAATTTTATCATGTACGTAGTAAAATTTGTTATATACATATTAATATTGTTTGATTACCATAATTTTCAGTGTAAATTCAAAGAGAAAATTCTCTCCGTTCTTAATATTGTACATATTAATCCTATTCATCAATGTGTTCAATCTAAATAAATTTTATCATTTAACAATCCTAAACAAAATTTTTATAAATTATTCAGGTTTCCTTGTGATAAAATATCTTATATAACTGAAAGACCATAAATAAAATGCATCGCATAAATATGTATAAAATAATGCATAAAAAATGACACAAAAAAGTTCATCAAAATCCGGGTATCCTACCTACAATCGAAGGGGAATAAATTATCGTGCAAGGAAAACACGACGCACCGTTTGGTGCGAGAAGAGTGACGCGAGACATATCACGTGGCGTCGTCCACCGCGACGTTGATCGACTTCTCGTTTACGTGAGCCGACGACGCTCGTGGATAAATCAACCGTTCGCCAGTGTATGGCTAATGTATTTACGCATTCCAGTTTGCACGTAGGACTTTGCAGCACGCTCCATCTCGCCGTTCATTGACAAAAGCAAGGTAAATAAAAAGGCACGAGCAGCGCGCTAATTGCGATCAAAGATAAGGCGATAAAAGATAAAGGTGCACTCTCGAGGGCCTTCGCAACGGCAAGATGCAATCTCCGATAGTCGGACAAAATTAGTACAGTATCATCCGACCGCGGTATCATCAAACCGCGTTTTTTTTTTTCCCTCAAAAGCGATTCGATAATGCGGTGTCTTGAATAAAGGTGCTCGAATCTGAGAGATTATTACGCCACGTGGTGAGTGACGAGACGAGAAATGATTGGGTACTCACGGTGGTGCGTGGGATAATTGTTGTTGTTGTTGGAGGACAGGAGCCGCTGGTAATCCATGTTGCGCCGGATGTCGATGATACTCCGTGATAAATAGTCGTCCGGTCGTAATTCTCGTAATTTCGCGCACAACAATTTTCGTACACAATTCCACCCCCGTCAATTCAGTGGACACTGTATCGCGAAGGTTCTTATCAAATGCGACAAACTAGTTTTGTCATCCGCATCGTTTTTCGAAAGGCATCGACTCACTCGCGCGCATTTTGCGCCATTTAACGTTCGCGTTTTTTTGGGGATTTTTTTTTAAATGAGAGGATAAATGTCAATTTCGTCTTTTCGATCAATCGAATCACGTGAGGGTCTCGGAACCGCAAATTTAGGATCTAAAATTTATACGTTGAAACGATGATGTAAAGACGATGACATTCGCTGCGCTTATTAAAGAGCACTTTCTGTTGGATTAGATAATTTTGTTGACTCAATCATTGCAAAGGTCACAGATTAGATAATGTTATTAATTATTAATAACCGTAAAAAAAACATTCGCGCACGTAGAAATGGTGAATCGCGTAATCACCGGATAAGCTATCAGAAACGAACGTCAATCTGTCGTACAGATAAAAAGTATACACAAGGCGAAGAAAATTCCGATCGCGAGCGATATATCTATATTTGTGTCGCAAATAGCACGCGATTTTATATCGATTAAAAATATAATCTAATAAAAAAACAGTAGTTATTTATACGTGAGAAAGTAATAATGAGATTGTTAAGAGAGTACGGCGAGCTCGTCGAAAATCAATTTTGCCTCATTATTTTAAAAATAATGTATTAAAAAGTTTAGCGCGCGCAATTAATAGAGGCAAATTAAATCATTTGTATATGTGTACACTAAGAAAAAAGTTATTAACTTGACTAAATGCGTTCAACTAATTACTATTTTGTTAATTGAATACATACATAAATATTTAAGTCAAATACGTTATTTTGTATTTAATTTAAATATTTTTATATGCTCAATTAATTATCAAAATAATAATTAGTTGAACGATTTAGTCAAACTAACATTTTTTTATATGTATACACGTAATTTAATAGAGTCAATATGATTATCATTAACATATTGCGTCATATTAATAATAATATATAATACATTCAATAGAAATGTTTAAATGTTAAGTAGCCGATCGAAATTAAATGAGGAGCACTTATGCTTCTCTGTGGCATTTTTTAATTTATCCTAGTTTTCCAGAAATCTCATATGTTCTCATGTTTCAAGAACGAAAGTTTGTTAGGCAACTAACAATAAGCCAACGATTTTTATCAGTTTCATGATTTCAAATCTTGAAACTAAATCTCTAATAATAAATCTCTAATCTTTTAAGCAATTCGTGTTAAAACATGTCTCTGCTCTTTGATTCACGAAAGTACTAGTATTACATTAATAATCGAAATACAGTACAAGAATCTACGATTCTCAAGATGTATAATTTATGTAAAAAAAACCTCGTATTTAAAAAAAAATTAATTACGAATTATAAATAAATTTGGTATCCATTTGATCTCTGCATTGCATTTCTAAACGCCGCGGTCATCGTTTCTTATTTTAATCAAATTATTGCTCTTAATTACATATGTAAATTTACGAAAGCGTTAATTTTCGTAAGAAAACGTACGCGGATATGCGGGTAAAAATGCATACACACGAATTTAAAGGCAGCAAAGTCATCGACTCCCACACCAAGTGTGACACACGGATAAAGGAGGTAATCAGGGCGCATTCTTGCACGTGTAAGCCCATGTCTAGAGCCACATGTGATTAACGACGCGTTTCCGGAAATCGACCGCTCGCAAACGACTCACGAAAAGTAAAGTTCTCGCGTTATAGACGGTAGATATCTCAATTATTTAGTAATCCGTATTTAATAGTTCAAATTGCTATCGCGTGTATATATATATGTGTATATATATATCTTTCCTTTTACATATGTCCCCTTTAATGAAAAATGTATCATCAATGTTATCTCTGCATTATCTCTATATACAGAGTGTTATCAAAGTACCGGAACAGCAGAATAACTCGGAAAATATGAGTCCTAGAAAAAATGCTAAGTACTACTGAGTTTTTATGATTTTTTCCTGACTAAGGTAACCGTCAGATAGCCAGGAAAAAATCATAAAAACCCAGTACTTAACATTTTTTCTACAACTCATATCTTTCGAGTTATTCTGCTGTTCCGGTACTTTTATAACACCCTGTATACGCCGAATACAAATGAGAAAGTCAATAAGAGAGAAAAAAACGCTGTGAAAATAAACTGGTAATAATGTTAGCGGATCAATGGCTCGCGACATTTCAATTGCAAAGTGCCACGTTATCGGGTTAATCAATCGAGCCAATAATACGGGTAATATACATTAAAATGGTCAATGTTACGATACCGCGAAAAATTCGAGCCGAACGTTCTCGGCAAGGTCGAGCAACGTAAGATTACGCAATATTGATTCACAACGAAAAGTGTGCGAGGTGTGCTCTATTATTTCGCGTTACTACGCAGCAGGCGCAAGCAAGAAGGAAAAGACTCACGGGCATCTCGTGTCGTTGTACCGACGCCTTCAGGTCGCCACAATCGAAACTCGCACACTCTCGAGACATAAACATATACACACACACACACATACATACGTAATATATAAGAGCCGAAGAGCGAGAGATTAAGACTGACGGAGCGAAACACGCGATAACACGCACGAATAACGTCTGTTCCCTCCCTCGTATTTTTTTTTTTTGCCCCCGGGATTCGAAGCGACGCGAAGACAGGAATAATCGTATATACGCGGCAAACTTCACAATAAACTTCCAACGCATGGGCAGACACCGAATGGCGTTGCCGCCATCGGAACTCCAAGCTATAATATCGCACACAGCCAGAATCTAACCTCGTTCTACGTCCCACGGGGAGCTCCACGAGGTACGTCGTATCCGACAACAAGCTTCGGGGCAGAACGCGAGGTCACACGTGCTTCCGCGAACGCGCACATTTCATCACACTGCACAAACACACACCGCGTCTACTCTCGCACTTCCGAGGGAAAGAGAGAGAGAACACACACGTCGCACTCGCGCACGTGCACATTGATCGCGGGTCTTCTCCGAATTCTTATCAAAAACGACGACAACAACAACTCGCGGCGAAAAACGGTGCACTGCGTGGCGACGCGCCGGGTCGACTAACCCTCACGAGTTTCGTACGGTAGGCGTGACGCGGCGCTGTCACGACAATTGCCGAAAACTGCCGAGGACCCGAGACGCGACGCGACGAGACTTGCCGAGCCGCCAAGGCCTGCCGACTTAATAAAGCGCCAACTTCAGCCGGCGAGTTCGGCTTTGTTCGCGAATCGTCTTGAATAACGCGACACCGATGCCGCGTATCAAGCGCGCGTCTGACTTCGCTCGGTAAACAAAACAAACCGCGCGCGCGCGCGCACGCCGCGGAACGTAAACACGAGGAGCCTGGCGCCCCCACCCATTCAGCGATAAGCTGTCATCCGAGTGCTGCCACTTCCGCGTGATTCTCTATCTCTCTCTCTCTCTCTCTCTCTTTCGGTCTCTTCTCACGATCGAATTCGCGCGCTATTGTAGCGCGTTATAAATCGACTCGCGCCACGAGGTGAGTTCGCGACCGCACCGTTCGCGTTCCCGCGTAGTACTACTGCGGGAGAGGGACGTTTCTCGCCGCGTACGGCCTCCCTCACTCACACACACACAGACACGGTAGGGCGTCCCGCCGACTCGCCCTGCGCGTCGCAATTGCGCACTTTCGACACGCATACGTACTTCGTGGGCTCCCTCCTCCTTGGAATCGCTTCATTGGCATCCGTAACTCGGCTTTCTGGATCTTTGGACTCCTTCCTTCGTTTCAGGGGTGGAATCGCGACGTTAACGATGATCACAGGTGAGAAGAAGGCCTTCCTCACGAACTCTCTTCTCGGTCATGAATTTGTGAGATAGGTGAGAGTTGCGTCCTATTTTTTTTTTTTCCGACTTTAGGGCCTATTTTCACCTGAATCGATAGTTCGTGCGCTTGCAGGGTGGCCAATAGATATATTTGATTTATTGTTAGAAATGCTTAGTTTGGCCAACCTGAGTGGTTTTAACCGCCCGTTCATCTAATCTCGCGTTTGTGAAGTTGCTCCGTTTAAATGTATGTGTAAATCTGTCTGAATTCTCTTCTGGCTGCATAATTAAATCATTCGCATAGGCTTCGTAAGAGGTAACCAAAATTCTTCCACGTATCAATCATAAATTATATATTTTTGTCGACACGAAGTATCGGGGGCGTCGACGATTTTCAAGATGGTCGATGAAATTAATCGAGAGAAAAGATATCGCGTCGCGTTTTTGCCTGTTTGTTCGTCGAGAAAAGGACCGGGCAACGAAGCTTCTAAATCCGTCCTTGTCTATCGTCCTCGCGCGTCTGACTGCTTCCATTTTCTCGCTAACCCTCGCGAGACAGGCTTTTTCTCGAATGCCGCCTACGCCTTCGTCGTTTCCGATCGACGACTCGACCATGAGCGTCCACGAAGGGGGGCAAAAGGGCATTTGCTCCCCTGGGAATTGATAAAAAAGAAATTAAGCGTTTATACTCTCCTTATTTAATATAAAAATATTTAATATAAAATATTTTTATATTAAATATAAAAATATAAATAATATATAAATATTTAATATAAAAATAAAATTAATATAAATTATATTAATTTTATATAAAATATATATTATATATTTTTTATATAAAATATATAATATATTTATATATTTAATATAAAAATATATAATATATTTATATATTTAATATAAAAATAAAAATAATCAACTTTTTAAAAGAATTAAGAAATAAAGAATGAGAATTTAACGATGCCCCCTCCTGGAAATAATCCTGCGGACACCCATGTTCTCGTCGCTTCTCTCCTTGTTCGAGTCCTTCGACTCGCTTAACGTATACGGGAAATCTCTTTATTGCGTCGCATAAAATCTGCAGAGATAAGACGCGGAGAAACGAAATCGTATATCAAAGCATATCGGCCGCGAAAGTATCCGATAACACAGATCTGCTGCCTCTAATGTTTCGTATTTTTTTTTTGTGCATGCATCCTTTTTTTCGTTTAGCCTCGATTGTACGATGATTTCAAAACGGAATAATATGAGAATTAATTTGCGAGCATTTATATTAAATTTTATTGAAAAAGCAATTATATTTATGGAAATTGTCTATAGTACGTTTTTTTGCTCTCTGTTTAACTTTGTAAAAGTTTAATTAAAAATTATGCACATTAGCGATACGCGATAAATTAAGGTATTATTTTTTTATATATATTTTTATTTGTCTCGTTTCGCCGCCATTGTATATTCGCGAGATGTGCAATTAATAAATATAAATAATTGTTTTAAAAATAATATAATGTATTTTTATATATTGAAAATCGAAGAAATACATCATTATCACATCATCTTTTCAAGGTTAAATTAAAAACTTTAAATAGAACCTCTATGTAATTTCGCATATTATATATTATTTAATTAATTCTTGAATTACATCAAGAGATCGATGCCGGCAACGCGTGCGATTCCTCGATTTTCTCAAAGTTATTCCGCCCTTGATATGCGGAATCTAATATCGCGTTGTCTAATAATAATACCGCGAAATTGATAGAAAACCCGAATAATTAATCGCGTCTCGGAAATGCGCGGGCGATATTATCTACCTACGATCCCAGGAATATAAAATTATATACAAATTTTCCCGCACGAATGCAGCGAAGCTTCCCCAATATTCTATATATCAGTCATATATAAATAATAGGTGAATAAAAATATAAGTTGAAGAGAAATTTCTTAATTTTCTCTACAATTTAATTTAATTTTCGCAATAAACTAATCGATCTTTGTGATCTTCAGGTTTGATTCCGGTTGCGAGAAAACGTGCCACACTGTAAAAAAATTTTGTAAAATTACATTAAAAATATGTAAAATGACATAAATAATAAATGTAAAATTACACGATGAATAATCGAAAAGGTAAACATTTTTATTATTTATCGTGTAATTTTACACTTATTATTTATGTAATTTTACATATTTTTATGTAATATATTACATATTTTTTTACAGTGCAGGACCCCTTGAAAACGAGAGCCGAAAGCAAGGCAAAGCCGTTCAAGAGACAGGACAAAGGGGAGAGAACCGAAGAAAAAAATATTCACACGCGGGTGACATCGTTCGCGTAATTGTGCTCGCGAGTTTGTCGACATGGTGCCACATGACGCGAGACGGAAGGCAACGAAGAGGAAACGTAAACGCGCCGTCGACGAAGCGTGCCCTAGATCTTGGCTCCGCGTACATTCGGTGTGCCATCCCGCCCTTGCTGTCGTACGATGAACCACGAGGATCTTCGTTGTGTACAGGTGAATCGTCTGCTTGTATATTGTTCTGCCGCGCAGGCGTGCACCAGGAGCGGAATCGACGCGGATCTCAGCGAAGTCTTATATTTTATTTCTTCAACTAGTTCGATTCTATTTTTATACGCGGAAAGAATTTTCTCTTAGAATTTACCCTGAAAAATCATGGTAGTCGTGGAACAAGAAATATTAGTAAAAATATATATATAGTACATTTTACTATGTATACAGTGAAATTAAGCGAACATATTTTATATCTTATTATGGTGTAGATATTTAGATATTAATATTTTTATTGTAGTAAATATTAATCAGAGAAACTTATAAAATTCTTCCAATATTGTCCCATGATTTTCGGAGTAAATTCTCTGTGTATCAATTAATATTGCCGATTGATTCAAGATAATTTTCACATAAAGTCTTATATTTTATTTCTTCAACTAATTCGATTCTATTTTTATACGCGGAAAGAATTTTCTCTTAGAATTTACCCTGAAAAATCATGGTAGTCGTGGAACAAGAAATATTAATAAAAATATATATATATATATAGTATTTTACTATGTATACAGTGAAATTAAGCGAACATATTTTATATCTTATTATGGTGTAGATATTTAGATATTAATATTTTTATTGTAGTAAATATTAATCAGAGAAACTTATAAAATTCTTCCAATATTGTCCCATGATTTTCGGAGTAAATTCTCTGTGTATCAATTAATATTGCCGATTGATTCAAGATAATTTTCACATAAAGTCTTATATTTTATTTCTTCAACTAATTCGATTCTATTTTTATACGCGGAAAGAATTTTCTCTTAGAATTTACCCTGAAAAATCATGGTAGTCGTGGAACAAGAAATATTAATAAAAATATATATATAGTACATTTTACTATGTATACAGTGAAATTAAGCGAACATATTTTATATCTTATTATGGTGTAGATATTTAGATATTAATATTTGTATTGTAGTAAATATTAATCAGAGAAACTTATCAAATTCTTCCAATATTGTCCCATGATTTTCGGAGTAAATTCTCTGTGTATCAATTAATATTGCCGATTGATTCAAGATAATTTTCACATAAAGTCTTATATTTTATTTCTTCAACTAGTTCGATTCTAATTTTATACGCGGAAAGAATTTTCTCTTAGAATTTACCCTGAAAAATCATGGTAGTCGTGGAACAAGAAATATTAATAAAAATAATATATATATATATATAGTACATTTTACTATGTATACAGTGAAATTAAGCGAACATATTTTATATCTTATTATGGTGTAGATATTTAGATATTAATATTTGTATTGTAGTAAATATTAATCAGAGAAACTTATCAAATTCTTCCAATATTGTCCCATGATTTTCGGAGTAAATTCTCTGTGTATCAATTAATATTGCCGATTGATTCAAGATAATTTTCACATAAATCGTTTAAAATGAAAATGATTTTTTTGTTCAAATAACACATGCCGCAGAGATATTTGAGAGGCTGTAAAAATTCAGTTTTATATATATCTATATATAGATACATTTTATTTTATCCGTTGTAAATTTATTACGGTTGTACATTGTATTTGATATAACGTTTCGTGCCATATATATATATATATATATATATATATAAATGAATGTCGCGTTGCGTTAAATCCGCTCCTGGTTGAATCTACACACCGGCGTGATGTTTTGAGTTCACCGGCATTCTATCCCGCCGCCACCACATTCCGGTGACGTAGCGTGACGTCATACGGTAAGCGCCAGTTCCCGGGACGAACGATCGATCCTGGTCATCGTGCACGACCACCAACCACCAGCATCGTCGTCGCCACGATGCGCGTGATAGGAAGGAACACGAATACGCAATTGCGTCGTGCGAAGAGTCAAAAATCTCGACTCGAATTTCAGGACACGCGACGATGGTGCACGTGCGCTCGCGCAAAAGCACGTTCGATTCAAGGTCTCGCTTAGTTGAGAGTTAAGGTCGGGTCAAGTTAATACGCATCTCCAATTGCGTCGGAGACGATTGAAGTACCTACACAAGCGGGCATTAATTGGAGCGAATGACTTTCGTGCGGTCGAACGATCAAACGATTAATTCGCAACACATATATACATGTGTGTACACAATTCATTCATAAGAGGCTTTATTTTTATATGTAATATAAAATGTTGAGGATTAAAAATTTGCGCAAAGTTCATGGGGGAAGAAATTCAAATTCCGGTACAACGTCGACTTCTCGCTTGTCACGTCAACGTTAAAACGCCGTATATTCAAAGACGATGGGGCTAAATTTACATGGCCGGGTCTCGACGTGTCTCACGCGGCCTCGTCGAAATGTTCCAAATATATAGAAACGAATA